CAACCCCCAAGGGGGTCTCGCCCCACAGGTTGAGATCTGCTGCTCTAGCTCATCTACGTTTCTTTCCTGTATTTTAGCTCCTCTGCTCTCGCGCATGTTTCAGGGTCTCTTCTGACATCCATTTCGGTCTTTCTCTTCCATCTAATAACCTTTTGCTTTCTTCAGGTCTGACTTCCTTGGGTCATCCCGTAACTAGGCTGGTCTTTGATCATTAGTGTTCAGTGCATCGAGTCTGCTCCTGAGAGGGTGTCTACATTTAGGTGGGACATATCCAAGGCTGTGCCCTGGGCTCCTGTGAGCTTGTTTTAATTTACTTCAGCTTCAACTTGCAAATGAGCAATCGCTGTCTGCTGGCCTCTGGCCTTGTTCTGTCTGATGAGACTGAGTTTCTCCATCGTCTCTTTCCACAGATGTGGTCAATGTGATTCCCATGTATGCCACCCTATCAGGTCCATGTGTATGGTCACCATTTGTTGGAAAAGTGTGTTTCTGCTAAGTCACCGTTTTTGCAAAATTCTATCATGCAACCTCTGGTGTCATTTACAACCCCAAGGCCCATTTTCCAACAAACGATGCTCTGGTTTCCAACTTTTGGAATTTAAATTGGGATAACTATCTAATATTTAAGGCGTTCTAAGAAGCCCCCACCCACCCCCAACTATAAAACCTTGATAGAGCTTTTCTAACCACTTGGCAGCTGCTGAGAATGAAGTCCGTGCTGTTTTCTGGTAGCCAGGCTCTTCACGCCTACCCTGAATGCGAGGCTGGTTCGGAGGAGCGTGGGGGCTCAAGCAGTAGCGCTTCCCTGAGGGTTGGCAGGCAGTTCGAGCACCGGGCAGGAGGATGGCCTTCTAGCTGCAGGTCAGGAGAGCACTCCTGCCCTGCCCCACAACGAAGCTCCAGTGGATGTCTCCTCCTGTCCTCCCCTGCTGCTCCTGCTTCTTGCTGCAGGCGGGCTAGATCAGGAAGTGACGACTGAATGAGGCACAAATCAGCTTCCAAAACAATGCCTTGGCAGGCCCCAGAAGGCAAAGAGGCAATTAGGGTAATGTCCTGAAAGTCTAGGAGTGGGTCGGGCTATTAATTATGTTCTAGAGCACCCACCTCTAGAACATGGCGGTGGCCATGACCTCATCTTGGGAACTATTCTATTCGTATGCCAGCCTGGCGACCTGCCCCATCGTGCTAGCCTCGCAGACTCCTTCCTGTGGCTGTCAACAACGTACTCCAAAGCAGACTAAACACCACTGCTCTCAGTGCGGATCCACAAGGTGCGACTACACGACTGGTTTTATAATCAGCATCCTTTCAGAGTCTCTCCCAAGCATGTGGACCCTGAATAAGCACACCGTTTATCAAAGCCTCCATTACAACCTTCCTGCTATCACTGAGCCATGCGGCAAACGGTATGTGTGCCTCGGTGTCACGTGTGGCTACTCAGAGCTTCTCCAGTTGTCTCACTGGAACATGTGAGCCAAGCAGACATTGTCCTTCATGAATATTCCACCTCCGCTGGCCTTTGGCCAGTGCCAAATGGCCAGAGTCCTGGCCAGCAGAAGTGACCTGGTCGAGGGGGGGAGATTATTTGACTTGCAAAGGAACCAAGTTGAGGACCCCTGGGTGAAAGGCAAGAACAAAAACAAAGCACACTCAACCTCATACGTGTTTCATATACATATTTATATATATTTCATGTACAAAGTTACATTCCAAACCCCAGGGATTCCATGATAGAAATAAATACTGAGATAGCTACATTGCTAACTGAGCTTTATGCTCATAGAATTGAAGTCGCAGCCTCTAAGAGACAGCAAGTGGGACCCTAGTACCCATCCCCCCCTCCCCCGGATTAAAGAGGCAAGTAAAATTCAAGATAAAATGTCTAGGATAAAAAAACCAACTTCAGAACAGAAATGGTTAAAATATATTCAAAACTAGGAAGTATTTGACAAAATTAATAATAGAAGCTTATTATTTTTAAGAAAAAGAAGAGACATTTAGTGTTACAATACAGCAATAACCCTGTTAGAAAAGCATTTATGATCTCCACATTTCACTTTCTCGCCTGCTATTCTTCCCTCGTTACAAACTGGGACCAAATGGGTCCCTCGCTCAACATGATCCTTAAGAAGAGCCCTGAATCTGGCTGAGTCCTTTGGTAACCATCCTAACACTCACAAGGAAATACAGATTGACTTCTATGACATTTGCAAGACACGCCTCTTTGTTTCACCCATGGTGAGCATGGGTGAGACATTTGTTTTGTTACTAAGGCAGCCTATATTAAAGGACCTGCTCTCAAAGATGGGAAGGCCTTTCCAGGAAACAATTACCACAGCGGCTGGGAGACTGTGGTTCAAGCTTCTCTGTGGAAACACACTGAATCTGAAAACTTGCGTGGTGCCTACTTTGTGCTCCAGACGTTGGAGTCTCTCAACAAGTGGTCATGGTCAAGAGATTCCTTCCTGTTTAAAACATTTAGATCCACAGGAGGGAGGGAAAATACTCTCAAAATTGAGTTCATAGAGAATATCCTCTTTTTGCCCCGGGTGGCCTTTCTTCCCATAGGAGAGGCCAGCTCCGGGGACCCCAGCCTCTTGTCTGTCCTCCCCAGCATTCTGGTAAAGCTAACATTTTGGCATCTTCTCCCAAAGGCTACCACTTGACTAAGGTACCTGTTCTTGGAGGTGATGGTAAGGGTAGCGTGAGGCAATAAGAATGAAAGATTTAATTGAAGTGACAAGCACAGTGCATTCTCATCCTCTCTGATCCCTGAAATGACTCAACAGGGCCACAAGTCACCTGCCATCTTTTGATCAAATAACTACCCACCTCATTCAGAACCACACACTCACCGCCAATGCACACTCACAGCGACCCCATAGGGCAGGGAGAACTGCCCCGTGGGTCCCTAGGCAGTAAGTCTTCACAGGGGTTAGCAGGTCCGACCTACATCCATCTATTTAAAGCCAGCACATGTTGACAGAGCATCGACGGCCAGTGTGCACTTGTCGCCATGCACACCTGGTCTCCTAAATGACAGTCGTCATGACAACAGCACAAGCACATGCGGCCTGCCTCTGGGGAGTTTACTCCAAGAGTAAAATTCCCAAGCACTTTGGTGTCTCTCTCTTGTGAACTTGTCCAACGTTTCCAGAAATGTTTAATCATATCTTTGTTAAGGTGCTACCCCAACCGCCTCTGATTTAATATAAATGAAGGTGCAGCCCACAAGCTGTGGGAGGGCCTGGAAGAAGCATCACCCAGCAGCGTCAGCAAAGAAGTCTCTTTTCACATCTTTGACCTGGAGCTCTTTTCTTCCAGCCATTCGAGCGGGCACAATTTGATTGTGTACTCACTGTGCTTACAGACACAAGGCCTTCTGCGGCCCGTTAAATCCCGTGCATTTTGCAAATCTAGCCTAAGCATCTATATGGATAAGAGTCACTGATGTGCTTTTTACAAAGATCTTTGCAAGGGAAAAGCAAACAACCCCAAACCAAAAAACTCTGGTACTTAAAAACACTTATGTAATCCGAAATTTACCGTATATACTCGTGTATAAGCCGAGTTTCCCAGCACATTTTTAATGCAGTGTTTGTGGTCAAATTAGGTGCCTTGGCTGATATTCGGTCGGCTTATCCTCGAGTGTATATGGTGCATTTGTTTTCTTTCCTTTTTTCTCAGTGCTCATTCTGATGATGAAGGAAAAAACCAACCAAAACCCACTGCCTCCAGAGTCGATTCCGACTCACAGCGACCCCGTAGCCCAGAGTAGAACTGCTCCCGGGCTTCCTGGACGGCCGCCTTCCCCGAAGCCGAAGGCCTCAAGGCCTCCTCCTTCTCCCCAGGAGCACAGCTGGTGGGTTTGAACTGCCAGCATTTCGGATAGCAGCCCAGCACTTAACCAGGGCAGGGCAGACATGAGCTTTGCTTTATAGGATTATATTAAAAAAATAGTACTTACATCTATATTTAGTGTTTCCTATAGTGATGGATAACAAATGGTAAACCGTACGTGTCAAGCTTGAGAGGGCAAACGCTGCCGCATTGTTTTAAGAAACGTATTAGACAAGAAGTCAGTTGAAACGCGCTTCTTCTCGGTTCTGAACACGGGCGCTGTGGGTAAAAGCGCCATGCCCGTCTTTCCTTGATGGCGGCTTGGCGTTGCTTGTCGCCCTGGCTAGCCTTCCCCTTCCAAGATGGCATTCCAGCCCCAAAAGGGCCCCAGTGTGGAAATGTGCTACTGACATCCAAAACACCAGCACTGGCTGCTCTGTCTGTCAACACGGGGCTGAAAACACCCTTTCTCATTCGAGCCCTCGGCCAGCTGTCAGGGCCGTCCACCACCAAACTACCAAGAGCGGCAAGCACGCGGGGTCGATGGGTCACAGGTGCACTTTCACCTGGAAACTCAGCCACCCATCTCCATCTTCTGGTACGAGGAACACAAAACACAGTTTTTGTTTTTTTAAAAAATCCTCCCTACGCTGCAGAGAATCTCTTAGGGCTTATCAACAATCAACTTTCCAGACACATCAGTATGCAAATGAGACTAGTCTCCCAAAAGGGGAGGGGAGAAAATACGTCCAGAATGCTCAGAGAAGCAGGCCTCACCGACTTTACAGCGCCAGTAAGTCAGAAACAGGAGACTTTTATTTAAATAAGCGTAGTCTGAATTTCTTTAATATAAAACCCCCCAAATCTGATGAAAACAAAGTTTTATATACCATATAAACAAGATTTTTCAGATTTGAAAGTGAAAGGTAAACTCATTTACAGTTAGCTTTTAGCTCTGGAGACATTTGGATAAATCCAGATAATCCAACCTGATCTTAGTCTGTGTCAGTTTTATACTACACTGGGGAAAGCTTTGCGATAGTACTGAATGGTACAGTTTAAATGATCACGTGTTTCCCATTAATTCCATCATTAGTGACAGCTAAAAAGTGACCCCACCTCACGCAGTGTGTGAGTGGCACTCACCGGGACTGCTTTCTGTGGTTCACTGGTTTGCAGAAAGCGCACGCGCTTTGATTTGTTCCTAATACACTGAAGTTACCTATAACACTGGTGCAGTAAAGCGCGAGCTCCTGCACTGTGACGGCAGGGCAGATTTTGTCATATAAAGTTAACAGGAAAAAATGCTCACACATGTGGTGGTGAAACGTATTTCACAGAAGGAGCATTTGATCAAAGGGAAAGGGGAAAATAAACCATGCAGAAGAGGCGGTGCCCCCACATTCGTCTGCTGCCTCAGGGCTCACTCACTGCCACACAGCACTTGCCACACAATCAAGTGGCTTCTTTCTGCTTTGGCGACTGAAGGTTCTAGTGGGAGGTCCTCTCCAAGAAGCTCTGATTCTCCACCTTCGTCACCTGGTGGATGGACAAGGAGACTCGTTAGGTGGCACATGGGACACACAGGCTGATGACATCCATCAGGCTCGGTTCAGTGCTCATGGCTGGCCCACGGCGTGATGCACAGAACTTACCTGACTGCCGTGCATGTCCAACCTGTACTTAAAGTAAACCCTGCATTTACTGAAACATGCCATGACTTGGCATGCTCCCCGAAGTTCCCGCCTAACTTCTAGACAGACAGCGTGGGGGACCCTGCCTACGCCGTGCTGGAGTTGCCGTGAACGGTGTGTTGTTGTATATCTCACTGTTAGTGGGAAAGGTTGCAGCACAAAATTCAATGCTACCTTTCTCAGAGATTCACTTGCAAATGTTCAGAGATTGGGGTGATAATTAAAAAAAAAAGGGCATTTGACTTGCGTCATATTGGACTTGGCTCAGAGTCCTACCTGTCAAAGTGTGTCCACTACACTACTCTGGAAGCATGCCCCAGCGACCTGCACACTGATGTTAACAGAAACGGGACGCCAAGGAGGCACTGGTTCAGCTCTGTGCTCCCCCAGAGAGGTGTGCTCTTCCGTGATTTTCAGACTAATGGCCGAGACCGTTCAGAACGAGACCAGCGCAAGCACAGGGACGAAACTAACCAACACATCAACTAAACCCACAGTGCGCATGCTTACTACAGGAGTGGAGGTTCCAGTCGCAGATAACTGATACAGGCATGCGCAACTCAAATTCTCTCTGTGGCCCACGATGGCCAATGACCAGCTCACACTCCGTGTTTCGCCAGTGGCTTTCAAGCTTGGAGCAGGTTATGAATTGATGTATGGCAGAGACGAAGAAATGATCGGCTAGAGGCTTTTCTGAGAAGAGCTGAGTGAGTGGAATCAACGAGGCCTTCAGCAAAGACCCTGGCTCCAGAAGCCTCGTGCTCCTTGCCCGCACCAAGCGTGTCTTCTTGTTGTTGGGACCTGGAGAGCTGGTTCGGAGGTTCCATCAGGGAAGGTCGCCCTCTGTAATGGAGCGTTCGGCTATAGGAGGGACGCGAGTGGAGCAGTAAGCAAGGACAACACCTAGCTTGGAGATCAGTGACGATGACGTGTGTGGCAGCTAGATCACCCTCACATCCTGAGCTGGGTTATGCTGGCACAGCCCAGTGACAACTCATGGAGAAAGATGGATTCTTTAACAGAGCCTTCAAAGACCTGCCACTGATCTCCCAGAATGCTCTATGAGGCCCCCACCTCCGTTTCAGCTGGACAAAACACCAAACACTGATTCTGCTGACTAGAAACAGCGGTAGAGAAAAATCCCCAAGTATGTGCCAAGCTCTAAGGACCAAGCTTCCCGCTTACCTCCCCACTAGTGCTCTTTCCCAGACAGTTTCAGACCGTGGAGAGAAGCATGCTTTCTCAGTGGCTCAGGACAAAAGCCTGTGTTTGAACTGAATCAGAGTCAGATAGTTAGAAGGTAAAAAAATGTGGTTCCTACATTTACAAACCCTCTATGATGACAATGACCAATCATTCGGCTGAGACTCATCTGTTCTTTGAGTAGGTTTGTTTTCAGCATTCTAGTTATATAAAAAATCACCCTGCTCCTAGGGTCTCTGTGTCCTGGATTTAAGATAAACTGTAGAACTATGGGGGTGTAGGGATCTGTTCCTCACCGCTGAAAAATTATTGTAATGAAAAAAGAAATGGAATTTTTAAAAAAAGCATCTGCACTATTAAAAATAGCCTATGTGTAAAGACATGACTATTTTTCAGGCTGGGTTAACGAGAAACGCTGCCAGGACCTGTTAGGCAATTCCGTGCTGCCTTCAGAATCCACAGTGGAAGGAATTTTCCGTGGAAATGGAAAACCACATGGAGATTTTCATCAGCGTGCACCTCATCTTGGTGCCGACTGCCACATGGCATTCCAGACAAATGGAACTTCTGCAGTTTCTTCCTAGAAAGGATTCTGCACCAACAGGCGGAGACTTAACGCACATTGAAATGACTCCCTTCCTCCTGGCACCATCAGAATCCATCTCTAACCCGCTCTTAAAAGTGTGTCAGTAAGTCCTTTGGAGCCAACATTCCAGTCTCCTCTAAGCACGTGAGCACACTCTCATTTATGTGACCTGCAAGTCCACATGCGAGTCTGACACAAGTCAGGCCTAAAAGAAGCACATTGTCATTGATCTCTATTATTAGATTTTTGAGAGGCATTTAGTACCTTGGTTCGAAACTCTGTGACTCACTGGGACGTTGGTAGACCAGGGACTCCTTCCTTTATTGATAGCACACACAGGTGTGTCTACCTGGTGCTTTACAGTCTACAAAGCAACACGCGGCCACAGGATCAGTCTCCTGAGTCGCTTCATCTCTCTAGCCGGGCTTTTCCCGATCCCTTCCTAAAGCCGACCGTCCGGGTGCTATCTGGGAACCTCCTTGCAGGCACTACTTCACCCCAATTTCATGGCCTTGACTATTCCCGCATACCAACATGCCGCATACCCAAGTCCCACCCTCCACATATATAAAATCTAAGGAAAAGCTTCCCCAACTTATTTGGAATACTGTCCCCTTTTCAGGAAAAAAAAGTAACAACTCAGTAACCCCCATGCAATTTAAATCTTTGGTACAAGCTCTCACTCATAAAGCCAAGATTCAATGTGGGTCTCTGTTTTTGCAGGCATCTTGGGTCCTTCCGTGCCCTTGAGGGGGCTGTATCAGAAGCACTGACCCAGAGACACCCCCCACCACCGTCAAAGTCCACGTGTCCAAACCCGAGTCCCCATCCTCACTTCGGTACTGGCTGTACTTATTAAAGTGACTATCCACCCAGAATTTGGGAGTCACCCCAGGTCACTCCCTCCTTCTTTCCCCACTTCCTTTTAGTTCTAACTTTCTTATCAAGTCCCATCGCCTTACTCACTATTCATTTCTCCACCTCTAGTCTTCCAGCCCCTCCCTCTTCAGGTTTTTTATACTTTCTTAAACCCAAACTCCCGCCATTGAGAAATAGTTGTTCTCCAGTTAAGACCGTTTCACATCTCTAAGCCTTTGTGCACAAGGACTCCTGTGGCACAGTCCACTCCTTGTTGGGCTGCTAACTTCAAGGTTAGCAGTTTGAAACTACCAGCCTCTCCGAGGGAGACAGGTGAGTCTTTCTACTCCCCCAGAGTGAGTCTAAGAAACCCAAAGGGGTAGTTCTACCCTACCCTACAGGGCCCTTGTGAGTCTTAATGACAGTGAGCTAGAAGCTAGCTATTCTCTTTTCATGGACTACTAATTCCCAGCCTAACCCTTTAGACTACCTTATCGAAGTAGAATCACTTCATTTCCTGACTTCCTACTCTTAGGCAGAACTGACCACTCCCCAGAAGAGCATCCCAAACCCTTTAATTTATTAGCATGCCTGCATCTCTGCGCTGTTCCACAACTGAGCTCCTGGAAAGAGGCTTCGCCTGTTTCGGCTTGGTACTTTAACCTTTGGTGTGCACAAACAACTGATGTCAGGAAGGAAAAACAAAGCATATCAGTGGTGACACCACTACTTTAGGAAGTACCTTTATCTCCCTTTTGCACCTGAAGAAACTGAGGCTCTGAGAGGTTGAATGACTGGCCCTGGCCTTCGGACTCTAAACCTCATGCTCTTTACAAATGTACTTCAACACATGACCACACCTTGCTATGGTATAATGCATTTTTTTTTCTAATGCATTTTTTTTTCTTTTTTCTAATGCATTTTTAAACAAGTACATCTGACCTCAAAAAATCTACAAAGTCCACTCCCAGGACCCTGTTAGGACTTGGTCAGCAGAGGGGTTTCCCACGTGCCTGGGGCACAGCCAGGTTCCAGAGGCGGCGGCAGCCACAAGGACTCACCCATTCGGAAGTCAATGTAGCCCTCTCCTCCACTGATGACCAGCATAGATTTCAAGGGGGTTTGACTGCCAGGCTCCTGTGCCGATGGCCCTGCTTTGTCAGCTGCTACATCGGTGCCACTATTGCCACTTTGTGGGCTGGTGACTTGACCTATTTTATACAGGGACAGAAGTAAATGTTACTTATCACAGAGGTGGGTGATGGGAGATTATCTCTACCCTGGCCCTCCCATATTATCAGGGAGTTGAACAAAAAGGTAAGCCACAGTACCGTCAGCATGTTGGGGATCTTTTAAGTTCTCGGATGATTAGAAAACATTCATCTGAGGGTCCTAAGAGTCTAATTTGAAAATCAAGTACATTGATTTTTCATCAAAGCAGGCATATGGGGGGCTGGCCCCAATCCCAACTACTAAATGGACACCTGCCCCTCCCCCCAGAAGAATTTATTTCAAAGGACAGCATTGAATCTGCAGCTCCGGGAGAGGGACATATCTGATCGAAGCACACTTGAGCAGATGAAGGGGGAGCGAGTGGAGCACATCCTGGCCCACCAGGCCGTGAGGACGATGTTTCCGATTAGAGCAGCCAGTCCACAGAGAGGACCACATGGCC